TGGCTCCGTTACTTCTTTTTTATTTCTCTCTCTCTCTCTCTCTCTCTCTCTCTCTCCCCCTCTCTCTCTCTCGCTGCCTCACAACGGTGTCGTAAATCAAGCTGCTAGAAGGAGGTTGTCAGCGAAAAATACGGCGGATAAAGGCGACTGGGGGTAAGAGTTTGTTTTAGATGCCAGAACCCCTTTCGCCTGGCGAGAAACATTGCTTTCGGCAGCCACGATTTCCTTCGGACATCGAGGATTGATATGACCCTTCGGTCGTTATCTATTACGCTTCTCACTAAATTCGCGCATAAAGATCGAAAATATCACCTTCCCGAGTGGAAAAATTCAATCTATTTTGTTGTAAGCTAGAAAAAGTATCTCTAATAAAATTTTCCCCATTCATCCTTTTTTATCACAGACGAGAAAATGGGCGATACTATTATTGTAGTCAGATTATTTTTTCACTGAACAAATGAACAAATTAGTTCTCTAATATCTTCGACAAGAATTTAAAAAATCCTCTAAAAAAGAGTCTGCTAAAGCATGACGAAGCATGACACTAAAAACATTTTTCCGGTACCTACTATTATGTTTGGAAACAAAACTGAGATTATGCAGGTGCTTACCCTGCTTAAAAGAAAGAAATCTAGATTAGAAGATTGCTTACATATTTCGATCTTTTGAACTTCAGAATAATCATCGATGTCTAAAGCCCGATGTCTAAAGTGGAAAATTCTCAATTCTATTATCATATTTTGAAGGTTTCTTTCATATATCACGTATGGACTCTTTGTGACTTTTGGAAAAGATACCGTATACCAATATTTTTGTCGGCGATTCTTCTTAAAAATACCTATTGGCTTATATCTGGTCCTGCATCGCTCGTAGAAATCTTATCTCAGAGCCACTTCAGCCGCCTACCACTCTGTCATCTCACGATGCCGGATTCTGCTTTGATCCCTCCTGCTCCGAGTTTAGCTCAAGACAATCAAGGGACTGACACAGCCACTTGGAACCCAACTTCGAAATTAGCCGCATAGATTATATATGTAATGAATATCGTTAGAAATAAATCATGGAAGCACGCTTCAAGGCATTAAAGAAATATAATAAAATTATCCATGTGGTGTAATGAAAATAAATAATTACACATATCATTACATATTATTTGGATATAATGATATGAAAATTAGATACATTAAAATTGATTAAAAATATATCAGCTTTTAGTAAAACTGACTTGTATAAAAATAAATAAATGAAATTTTTTATCTTATATTTTAAATTTATGAAAATGTAGTTAATTTAATGGTGATGCATAAATGAAGCAACATCTTCTTATTGGTATCTATAACTTTACATATTCGTGGAATGTGCGTGATCAGAAGATAACGATTTGTTAGATTTCTCATCAAGTCGGGTGTTTGTCGGCAAAAGCGGACAAGAGGTCCTGCGACTGCAACCTACCGCGAGAGTTTTGTCTTTTCACTAATGACTCTGTGAGAGACAAGATCTCGGATTCAGATCACCATTTCTTTCCCTCTCTTTCCTCGCCCTCGGTAACGGCATAATCGATTTCTATCTCTAATCTCACCGCGGAATCTACAAACTTTTGCGTGTCGGATGCGTCGTGGCGGCTGTCCTTTCAATCCGACGTCTCTTGACGAAACATATGCTTTTAGTGGATCGGAATTTTAATGAATCACATTGGCACTTCAATTATGTCGCGCATAATTCTCACGCGTATTATTATTATCTATTCCTGTTTTAAAATATATTCTTACATGTCGAGGAGATAATGCTTTTTCCGAGCCGATTTCTCTTCTTATAGATAAAATTTATCTGACGATAAAGCAAAATCTGATCGCTAGAAAGACGCTAGTAAATTGGTTACGCTGAAAAAAATTTCATCCTACATCTACGTGTCGTTGTGTTGTTTCAATTTGTATCGATTTGTTATTTCTGCGCCACCCAAACACGCTCGTATGCGTACACGTAGATACAAGAAGCGAAGAAAACAAAAACACCAGTTAGAAAGCTAGGCGGGCAATGTCTGCCTCCTCGTGTCCTCTCTCGTGCCATTGGCCGTGACCACGCAATAAATCGAGCCATTCAGCCTAATGATTAATTAAATATAATGACTGCACCGGTCGTGACTGATGAGCCGACTAAGACAATATCTGTCTTGTGAGCTTCAAACCGAATGCGGAACATAGATGCATGACTGCGCTCGTAACATTGTGATCGTAAAATCTTACGTATATCATGTGCCAGGTGCCGTTCACAAATATAAGAGAAATATGCGGATATGAATAGCAGAATTACTGTATGAATAGCGCTGCATTGCTGGACGTGGAATTGCAAATATGAAAAGTGCTTGTCATAATAATAGAACCCGATGCATAACAAGCGTACTTAGAACGTTTTTTCAAAAACTTGTAGATACAATTTCACTTCAATCTAAGAAAAAAATTACTGTAAAACAGTATCATCAAAGTGCAAAATAAAAGTACAAATATATTCCGTATAAGTTCTAATTGCGAAGTGCATTATTCAGAGTATATTACGATTGTAGAATAATGAGACAATGAGGCTGCGAGGCCTTTAAAATTGCTGCCAGGCCTTTAATATACACACGAGAAAAAAAAATGTACCTTTGGAGCGCCCAGTGAGTTCATAAACTCGCTCACGCGTTATACACGCGTGCACGCATAGATTTGTCTTCGCTCGATGTCTCGTGCTGTTAGTAAGCACGAGTAACAGAAGGTGGATGGAAAGCATCATTCAGTCCGTGCCTCCTAAGTACACGAAAGAGTCCACCTTTATGGTAGTTATTAATATCAAATAGTCAGCCACCGTGCCCATTACGGACATAATGGGGCGTCATTTTTTGCCGCGACAATGAGGCACCCCGTTAAAATGCTCGATGTATTTGCATTATTTATGCGAATGATTAAGCTTCGTTAATATATTCAACGGGACGGTGGAACAGAACGATGTTAAACAAAGACCACAATAGCAATAGCATGCGAAGGCTTGTGTGAGAGATTAGATCCGCATACTCGCCAACATAAAGCAAAATTGAGTTCTGCTTGTGGTTAGAAATTGTTGGCTATTTTTCTTTCCTACTGGAAGAGCATAAATCATTTCAGCGTCGTATAACGAAGTTGGCGCAATGTTTCAAAGAAAATGCATATGTTCTGCCTTCTTATTTGATTAATTACTATCCTACGTGATGTGAAATATCGTTAATTATCCGTTCGACACCTTACTCCTAAATAAAGAGATGTATAAAAATAATAAAATAATACTTTACTTTTATCTCTCTAGCACAGATATACGTATAACATCGTAATGCACTTAATTAAATGCAAATAAATATTGCTTGTTAATTAGCTGGAAAAAGTATAAAACCAATATGTTGAACATTTATTATTAACAGACAGTTCTGATATAAGTAAGAAAATTTATTCTCAGAAAAGATGAGAAAATGCACTTTAATCTGTTAAAAGATTTTTCCTAATCCTAATTGTGAATAAACCACTACCTGCTTGCGCATAATATCGTTAAATTAGTTCTACTAGAAAGATTTCTGACCTGTTATGTTGTTAAAGAAAACAAGAATAAAAAAGAAAAATACTTAAATACTTAAATACTTAATACCGGAAACCCAACATTTTTTCTCTTCTTAAATAAAAAGTAGAATATAAAATAAACATGGTTTTGCTTCAGTTTGCACTTTAGCTACACACTGAAAACTAAATGCTTAGTAATTTTCAATATTAAAAACATTTTAAGATAAATAATTATAAAAAATATCTTTTAATATTAATAATCCTTTAAAATAGTATACTTCAAATTTATCTTTAAAAATATGCCGCAAACTTGAGCAGTTAATTTTCAAAACTTGTGTATAACTTTAACAAAATTTATTGTAAATATTATATGTGTGATATTTAATACATATCTTTTTTGATAAATTTAAACCTAAAGAATGAAATGTAGTATGCGCATCTTAAATGTTATATTTTAAAAAGCATAAAGTTATAAATCCAATTTTAATAATTTCCATAAAATCTGAAACACAATAATAAATTTATATTATTATTTGCATCATTATTTTCGATTCGATTTAAATTATTAATATATTTGTGAAATACCTTTTTAGATCTCGTGTTGTACATTATTAATATTGATGAACTACTTACTTATACTTACGACAAAGATACGCATATGTGCAGATCTTGAAATAATTTTTATTATTTTGTACTTTCTTTCATATCTATAAATAAAATTTTTAATATAATATTATTTTTGTAATATATATATATATAATAATAATTCTTACCGTAAGTATAATAATCCTTACCTCTTCTCAATCAAGTTTCGTTTCCGACACAGCGTCGGTTTTCAAATTCAAATTATGTATCTATCACTGGCTATTGCACAATAAAAATAATTTTAAAAAATTCAGTGTTCTGAGAACTAAAAAAAACTTGAAAATTGGTGAATAAAATATCCGTAGTTATATCCTAAACCTTTACGCATCAAGAGACGCGAAAACACTTCTTACACGTCGCCTATAAAATCACAGGATATTTCGTCCTCCGCCACATGGGCGGAATCCCGACATGCGCCTTGGTAAATGTGACGCCCATCTACACGTGGAGGACAGACACGTGCCTCTCTGGCTAGCAATGCTCCAATGACCAGCGATGCCGTCAGCGCCAATGGCACGCTGGTACCCACCAGAGTACGTTTCTTCGTGGTAGGGATCATATTTACAACCGCGCTACAGACGGCGAAGTGGAGGGGAATGAAAGGCGGGTCAGCTACAAGAGGGCGGAGTAACAGCAGATTGGATCTCGCATAGGGTGCCGCACAATGTGTGGTTGTGCTCTCCAGTGAGACGAGGAAGGAAGGAAAGCGCGCGCTACCCGAAGAGAAAGAGGGAGAACTGCGAAGTTTGCCTACTAACATCGAAATCAGTCAGTCCTGCTGTGAACACAGCAAGGAACACCACGGGTGCTTTACCCTCTCTGCAAGACGCGTCAAAGCAGTTGTTGACTTTCAGCACGTTGTTGTCCCCGTATGAATTGAGTATACTATATAGAAGATAGTAAAGGTCACTTTTCGAAAACGCTTTCTTTCATCGCTTCGCAGTCGCGTTAACTTTGCATAGCAGAGAGCGTGTTACACGGTTGGATAATCCAAAATAGTGTCGGAGTGCGAGGATAATCGAGCGAAAATGAGGTGACCGAAAAACGACCGAAAAATAGTGTATTCGCGTAAAAAGCAGTACAAAATAGTTCTAAGTCGCGAGGTTGCAATAGTGTTCCGTGAAATAAAATAAACGCAGAACGTTGCTCGTAGCGTAATAACATAACAGCATAAAGATGATTTAGCATGGAAATCTAAATGCTTCCGGGAAGCTTAAAATGATATGTGCTAAAAGTGCGATAAATTGAATATGTGGTGTTCAAATAAACTTTTAAGCCTTCGATTTATCTGTGTATTTTGTTCGTCAATAATGAATAGCGTCATTGCTGACAATGTTTTTCGGTGCTAGACCCGAGCTCAATGTCACAATGATGAATGGCTTTCCGATAGATCCTTCGCATCCACCGGTCATCACCAGTCATATCACCAATCTAGGCATCAGATTGTCCCCCGGAGGCGGTGGATCAACCGGTGGATCGGTCGACCCAAATGTAATTGTGCAACCACCTCCGGGGGTCGAGCCGCCTCAGCAGCATCATCACTTCCATCCGCAAGCTTACGCGCCTCACCATCCTCACACTAGCCACGTGTCTCCTCACACGTCGCATTCTATGGGACATCCGAGTTACGCGACGCGCGATTTCTTTCTCCGACGCGAGCACGATATTAACGCGACGGCCAATCCGGCCACCTCTGAGAGTGGACTGAGTATATTTTCGCCTCTGCATCATGACGGCACACCCGCGATGCAACAATTTCATCCCGTTCAGCATCCGTTGGCCGCCAGTCACTATAACGGGCATTATCCGCAAGACTCGCGGTTAGGTCCTCCGCATCACCAATATCTCGGTCCTCACCTGCCGCCTGCTATCCACCAGCAGCAGCATCCATCGATGGGCCATCCGAATCATCATCCCAGCTTCTTTAGATACGTAAGATCTAACGGCAGCAGTGGCGCTATCGGCGCTATCGGCACCGTCCCCAACGGTCAACGGCAGGAAACAGTCTGCCTGTGGATCGATCAAGATACACCCGGTTCGAGAAACAAAGTCTGCGGAAAAGTCTACCACAATCTCCAAGATATCGTAACGCACCTTAGTGTCGATCACGTGGGCGGACCCGAGTGCACAGCACACTCGTGCCACTGGCAAAATTGCACGCGCAACGGTAAGGCCTTTAAAGCCAAGTACAAGCTCATCAATCATATAAGGGTGCATACTGGAGAAAAGCCATTTCCTTGTCCGTTTGAGCAGTGCGGCAAAGTCTTCGCCAGGTCGGAAAACCTCAAGATACACAAGAGGACACATACCGGTAAGTGTCACCGACTAGCACTTTTCTTATTGTTAGTAACAGTTCTTGACTCGATTTACAATGCACGCAGCAAAGATATTTATATATTGCAAGTACGAACATATTTAGGCAGCACAGAGCATATATTCTTCAAATATTTCACGTAACAATAAATATATTTTTATGAGAATATTTACAAAACTATCATTTTATTAATATTTACAGGAAACACTGCAAATAATATCATAATACGAATAAATTCATGCAAAGAAATGGTTCAATTGCGAGTAATTACAAAGCAGTAAAATAACTTGTGTCGCGAAGACTAATAAAAATACAATTTTACAAAAATTTCTTTAGAAATACATTTGGCATAAAATATATCATAAGATATGTAATGTACTATCTATGTATATTTGACGCTAAATAAAATATTCAAAGAATATACTTTGCGGTATCTGTTTATTTCCACTTTTCTCAGTCGCAGTTTTGTCGAGACATATATCGTGTAGAAAGTGTAATGTATTAGATATTTGCAATAAAAATTTTGTTGTTTCGTGTATTATAAATAATACACGAAAAAGAATTTTTAATTCAATTTTCATAATTATTTCTTAAGAAACTGACCATCGCAATGTTAATATCGAACAATGGCAATAATCGCAATAAATTCATACAAATTCATACAAATTTTATCTATGCGAGCAATCTGAAAGACGCAATAAAATAAACCTCGACATATTCTGGAATTTCATCGTCGAGAATTTTTCGGATCCTATCAACGTGACGTTCACAAACTAGATGCCCGGGTTACTCTCAGATCTGAATCAGACTCGGATGCCCTTTCCACGAACTGATTTATCTCGACGTCCAGAATCGTATTAACCCTGTTTTCGAGATCTACCGCAAACCGCCAAATCGTATAAATTATAACCACGTAAACTAGCTCCTTTGCAGCGTGAGTCATTCTCAAATCTGGCCGGAACTCGACCGAGCGTGAGAATGATTAATTCGAGAACGGCCACTTGCTCCGTCGCAAAGAATACGCGGACAGAAGGAAAGAGGTTGACGGTTTCTATACTGCTAACGATTCGGTTTCCACCGAGAGCGAAATCACGAATGTTACCGCTACAATCGCATAAAATAATCATGAGAACATGTATAATATATTAATGTATAATATATAGATACATAGCTGTATTTTTCTACTCTTCATCCCGGGAACTTCTTTTTGGTCCGGTTGTCTCATCGACGAGACGCCACCGGCGCCTCGAGCCGTTTCAATATAATCAACCGGCTGTTTACGATGACAAGAATTTTTTGGGGTGCAATTAAGAAATTACCAGGCCATATATCGTGTCGTTTTATGCCGACAGCCCTGGACATTGTATTTACATATTTATTCGTCGGACGAGCGTTCCATTGGCCGATGCGACGGCTAGACGCTAGGCGTTAGCTGTCTCGTTGCTGGATCTCGCTGCCGTTAGCAGATTCCTTTCTCTATAGTTACTAATTCCATCGTGTAGTTTTGTTGCTTCTACGAGAATCGCTTGTTTTCTCTTATACCTAATTACTTTACGGCAAGCTACTTATCATACGGTAAAATATCAAGTAAACAAATAAGTATACTGTGTAGTAGCTAGTCGCTTCAAGTGTAACGTTGTTGTTTTCGTATAATAATAAAAAGAATTTGATAAAAAATGATAAATCAATTAATGTAATTAGCGCAAATGTGCAATCATTAATCGTTTATGATTAATAATGATAATGTGATGATAAAATGATATTGCAGAAAGACATTGTAGTGATTTCCTATAAAGAAGTGCATATTCTCTCTCTTATCGTTCGGAAATTGGTATGAATAAACAAGCGAAAAACATTCTCAGCTTTATGATTTAAGATATTTGTCACGATTCTTTCTCTTTTAATCGTTCAGATTGTGATCTTGTTGTATAAACAGATTTCGCATTGAAACGACTATTCATTATGCCTATGTGACTTTGAAATATGTGTACACTAAGGAAGACCGATCCGGATCGACACACACGTTTGTAATTATTTTGGGTTTGGAATCAACTTTGCGTTGAATCGCGCGAGCAATCGTTCTTATAACTCACAGATTTTAAAGTCTTATATTATACGATATAAATATGAGAAGTTAAAATATATAAAATATAAATTATAAAGTATAAAATATGAAATCGATAATTATATTAATTTACTCTGTCCTATAATATTTATTAATTGTTCATTTCGTATCGACATCTTATACGAGATATATTTTTGTTAATTAACGCGCGCGTCGATGTGAGTCCAACTGTTGCTTAGCAAATCCATATTTTAGCACTTGATATTTTACAACTTCTAGGTAACTGCGGAGAATCACTATCATATTCGTCGCGTAATCTAGCAACACGTGTTGCAGCACGCTGGATATGTGTATTATTTTGCGCACTCATCCGCTCTTAATGACTTTTAATAATGAAATCGTGTGGGGTATTCGCATTCGAGGGCACACCAACACTCACAGGTGCCCGTATTTTCGTTCGCACGATGCGGATTCGCTCATCGTCGTATCCACCCCGTGCGCTGGGGGCAGTATATCACGTGTGATTAAATTTCGTTTTCATTTATAACAAACGCCACCCTTCCGACGCCATTGTGGAGTGTGAGCTCTCTCTCCCGTGACCCCCCTCCCTTCTGCCCCTCGCGGCGGTACGGTTGACAGTTTGGGACTCGCCCAGATCGACGTTCTGCCACCCTATCGCGCGTTGAGATATACATTGTTGTAACAACCATTGTCCCCCTATGGGAGTGCTTAAGGTCGTTTTAAAATAGCTTGGATATTTTATACGATCGCTATAAATATTGATCAATATCGCTATTCGATTTCGCGCGACGCGGTGCGAGGATTTTTTGCCATTTTATCAAACAGCAATGTTGTATTCCTGTTTATCGCGATCGCGATGAGTCTCTTAGGCTTGCGCGAAAATGCTCTCACGTACGATTTTGTAAAATGCAAGACTGTTCAAATGCGACGTCCGGACCTCGATACGATGGCGCGTGAGTTTCGTTTAAAGCGATCAAAGGCTAACAGGCGCCGAGATGAATTAAAATTCATTTCTGCTCGCGTACATGGCAACGACAACCCTCTTGCGACCCTTGTCGAAATAAATTGGCGTTTTCGAGAAACGATCCTCGACGTCCATGCACGACTACACACATTGTTTTCGCACATTGCTCCATGAAACGCGCACGTATACGCATCACGCCTCTTTATTACGTTTCTTTTCTCTCGCTTCTACTTCTTTTACTGCGCCGTCGAAAGTACGTAAATGCGATTTGGCAGCGCCATTCTGTCGCTTCAAAAGTGGTACGGTAAATATTTTCCCCAATATATACTCCACATTCTGCTGTTGTTCTCATCAGGCGAGAAAACAAATAGACCAAGCGCAATGTACAATCTTACTATTATTTCAGAGATTATATTGTTTACAATATTAAATTTGCGGAATAAATGTGTGTGCAATTGTATCATGCGCAGTGATGAAAACTCTTTTTTCGAAAAAGTATAGATTTTTTTTCCTCCAGAAATAATTATTTTCATTTAGTTACATTATACCGTAATTTGTATTAGCATAACGTCGCGTATTAGCATCATAAAGATTCCAAGAGCACAAATAGTCAAGTATGGGTCTTGGTGACGTTGCATTTAACGATGATCGATGAAACGCAGCATCCATTAGCATAGAAATGATTTTGAGTCGCGGCGTCGAAATGCTGACTGTGCCACCGCAATAGGAGTCGAAGCGGACGAAAATATTGTTGCATCGCGACCGCACGATGTTGCGAGCAAATCGCGAGCAATGCGTAACCAGCAGCAATCTATTCACCGCGCGTTTGTGAAATAAAGCGCGCGCTATCGAACCGTTCTCGCGGAGAAAAATCTATCCTATTAATCCGCAGATGCGGACGGTGAAGGAGCGGCGTCAGCCATTAGCCTAAATCGATATGCATTTTAAAGCAGCTTACTCCTTCTCTCGCCCCCTTTTCTGCGAAAAAAAAGCGAAGAATAGTCTGTTACGCGTAAAACCGATCTCGCATATGCGTGGTGCGAGCAGCGGCGATTGGTCAGATCGACAATGGATCCCAATGGCTTGTACGCCATTGGTCAGGATTTTCGGAGGGTTAGACGCGGAGAATAGGGGGATGATACAGGATGAGTCGTCGCGAGGGGTGTTGTGGAATAAGCGTTAAGTAGGGGGCGAACTATCGTGTCGAGGAGGGCCGTGCGCGCGACGCGCAGACGAGTAAATGGCTACTTATTCAAGCTGCAACGCAACTTGTGTATGAAAAACCTACGGTGGACCGGTTTTGCTAATCCTTTAATTGTCGCCGGTGATGACAAACAGAGCACGAGAGGCTCGTTTCAATCGTTTGCGAAGAAAAGTTTTCAAACATTTCGATTCTTTTCAAATGTTGCAAGTGCGGTAAGCCTCAAGCATTGTTGAAGTAACAAAATATAAATTAAAATCTGTAAGGATTTCTTTCTCTAAAGAATAATTGATAAATATAAGTCAACAATCGCAAGGGAAAGTTAATTAATCTGTTATTTAATTAATTATAAATGATGGGCTTTTGGAGAACACCAAAATAATTATTTACGTTGCATAAAAATAAAATATTGTCTATATTTATAGTACGCGTCTATGCTATAGAACAGCGTACGACATTACTGACAAGATACAGTAACCGCTACTATTTTGCCGGAAGTCACGCCGTCTTCTGAAACGGCTCCGGCAGAGTTACCGTTTCTACGACCGATCCGGAGGGCCGATCGTGCCGTGCCGCGGGTTGCCGCCAGCCAGCGTAAAGGCAATTACTCTCGCCGGAGGCCAGTGTACTCCGTATTTTTGCACCGTGCAGTCGGTGCACAGCATGGAGGGCGTAAAACGTCGCGACGAGAGGCATTGGGTAGAGTGGAGCCAGCGCGTCCGCTCGTGTCCGTTTCGCGAACGAGA